TTAGATTACGAGTCGAGTGCCCTAACCACCTGGCCATGCCGGGCCAAGAAGAGATGAAAGAAAGTAAACCAATCTACCACAATCAAGTGTTGAGGGTTAATTTGGAATTAAAGTAAACCATAGTTGATTAAATGACAATGTGTGGAGAACAGTAGTTTGATAATTTCTCACCTGTATAACTGATGTATTATCACAAATTATCCTTGATAGAACCATGAATTTGTCTTATTTTATCTGTGTGAAATCTGCAGTGACAGTGTATTTAAATAAATCTTCACACCAGTGTGAAATGGTTACTTGTAAAAAGTTTTACATTTTAAGAAGAATAATTCAATTACCTACATACAAAGCGGTGTTCTTGATCTTGGCCTGGTAACGCTAAATAGAAAGACTGAGAGAAAATTATTTAGTCTGATAATAAAGAAGTTGCTATTTTTTTAAGATTATTATTAATATATTTTTTATCTGTCCTATAATTTCCATATTCCAACTAACCTCCCTTGTACGAGGTGGTCCCCGAGGCCGATAGTTATTGTCACGAAAATAAGCACGTCTCCTCCTGGGCATTCGAGGTTCTTCACGTCTCTGACGCCTCTCATCAGGATCTTGATCTTGCTTTTCCTCTTGCTCATCATCTTCTTCCTATCAATTATACAACAAGTCTTAGCAACTGGCCTGTAACACCTATACAGAAGCATCATTATACGCTAATACACCAAACAACAGAATTACTAGTACAAACATATGAAAAGTGAACAACGTATGCTACATCATTATTTGATATCTAGACTCGGAAGGAGTACATAATGCCAGCCGGGCTTGGCAAGTTGGTAAATTGACTGTAAAAAAATTCAATTTATGCCTTATTTTTTTGACTGGTCAAATATAAAACCTGTCTTAAGTTTTATAAATATCCATTTATTAAACCAAGGTTTTTTTGATTAAATTATAGGCAAATCTTCGAATTACAACTCTACTAATAGATTTCAAAATGCCAAATTTCAATCCAAACAATATCTATTCTGTCACAGCCTAATACTTTATATCTTTTTACATATTTTGTAAACATTAATGATGTCAGAAAGACATGTAGGTTCAAGAAGTCTTGATACAAAATGAGCATCTTTCAAAAGTGCTCAGGTTATAGGGTTTTTATCATTTTGTAAAAAATTATTCATATAGCTTAACCCTTTCAAGACAGGTCACGGGTGAAAGGCCATGTCTTCTCATTCGTTGACTTGCATTCAAAATTCTATTAAACTACTATTTCATGAATTTATATCAATAAGTTTGGTATCTAACTGTAGATTACAATTCAAATTTTAGTACGAGGTCAAATATAAAACCTGTCTTAAGTTTTATAAATATCCATTTATTAAACCAAGGTTTTTTTGATTAAATTATAGGCAAATCTTCGAATTACAACTCTACTAATAGATTTCAAAATGCCAAATTTCAATCCAAACAATATCTATTCTGTCACAGCCTAATACTTTATATCTTTTTA